GAAAAAGGTATCCAATATATAGGGTGTATAAAATGTATACCTTCTCCTTCAAAATATAGGAAGTATAGAAATATGTAAAGTGTCCTATCATTTTGTCTAGTATATTCTAAGAAATTTTGTTCCATAATATTGTTAGATATAACGCACCATCGTTGGATTTTACATTATTCATTTTCCTAACACAGGATTCTTTGCCAATTTTTTTTAGAAACCTTTTTAGCAATCTTATCACGTTCCGTGCCACGGTGGAATTACAAGTTTTACCAGAGCGTCGAAACGAAGTTGAAAAGTCACGTTAAAATATTTAATTATAGAAAAATATTGATACGAGCTGAATTTTCTTGATACCCATCCCCTTTGCATTTAGTTTTCATGAGTATCGAGTCGAAAAATAATTTTCGTCGTTTCATGAAAATTCCATTTTCGAAAATTGTCGGTAATTAGTAACTGAAGAATACTGATACTGTAGAATATTAATATAAGTTGAATTCTTGACACTCATCTTCCTTTGGAATTATTTTTCATGAGTATCGAGTCGAAGAATAACTTTCGTCGTTTCATGAAAATTCCATTTTCGAAAACGATCGCTAATTAATTAACTGAAGAGTACTAATACTGTAGAATATTGATATGAATTGATTCCTTCATACCTATCTTCCTTTGCATTTATTTTTCGTAAGCATTAAGTCAAAAAATAATTTTCGTCGTTTCATGAAAATTCCATTTTCGAAAACTATCGTCAATTAGTAACTAAAGAATACTGATACTGTAGAATATTAATATAAGTTGAATTCTTGATACCCATCCCCTTTGCATTTAGTTTTCATGAGTATCGAGTCGAAAAATAATTTTCGTCGTTTCATGAAAATTCCATTTTCGAAAACTATCGTCAATTAGTAACTGAAGAATACTGATACTGTAGAATATTAATATAAGTTGAATTCTTGACACTCATCTTCCTTTGGAATTATTTTTCACAAGCATTAAGTCAAAAAATAATTTTCGTCGTTTCATGAAAATTCCATTTCCGAAAACTATCGTCAATTAGTAACTGAAGAATACTGATACTGTAGAATATTAATATAAGTTGAATTCTTGACACTCATCTTCCTTTGGAATTATTTTTCACAAGTATCGAATCAAAAAAATTTCTGTCGCTTCATGAAAATTCCATTTCCAAAAGACTGTCCTACACCACTAACAGTACACGTGGCACGGAACGAGTTAAACATCTATTATTCAACTGCAATCAATTCACTCGGTAATATGTCGAAATGCAATAATTAAAAAGTTATTAAAAAAAAAAAATGAAGCAACGATAGCGTAACGAAGGAGAGTTTATAACATTGCTTTTTTTAAACGTCTCTATTCACCTTATGAAAGTTTCACTGGCTCGGACGACTACCGTGAGTCACTGATAACCTACGGGTCACGGAACGGATTAAATCGAAATAGAAATTGTTTGAGACTTTCGTGTTCGAAGATTGTCAGTCGATTCTCTCCCTTCCTACCTACCATCCTAACCTATTCAAACGAGAATAGATCGTCTGATAAAAAAACAAAGCAACGTTAGAACAGTCGATGGTGTATATAAATATGCGGTTGCAATTCTAGAAGAGGAAGCAAACCTTGTCATTCGTGTCATGTGGGCGTTCAAGGTGAACATTCGCGATCATACGATCAACGCTCTAATAGATACGTTTTACAACACTTTAAACAGTTTTTAATGAAGCAAGGATTTGTGTCAACAACATTATTCACCGGCCATCACGTGCAATTTTTCGACCCTAATGCATTTGTTTTGCATCGTCCGCGAAATTACGATATGGAGGAAAAATAAAACGGTAATAAAATTCAAATAAGACACTGTGTACGTGAATATTTTAACTTAATGTCCTATTATACGTTCTTGTCGTTTCAACCTTAATCAACGTCCAACGTTCTCCATCGCTCTCCTACGTTCATCTAAAATTCCAAACCAAAATTACACCGTTACCATTTTTTCACACGAGTAATAAAAACGAATCTCGAACGACGGTTATATCGAACATACATTTCAAATCAACTTGTAACGAGACATTCCTTCTAAACGTTCGATTTACTTCGGTCATTCTGCCGCCATTTTACACCTTCCCTCTGAAAATCTCTGAAAAATGAATTCTCGAGGAATTCAACGGAATACGAAAGCATGGAAAACTTCGCGGATAAAAGAAGCTTCGGGACATTCAGCAAAGTGTATGCAAATATGTTCGAGTTATTTCAATAGGAAATTCCATTGTTCGGAAGATCGACTTAAAATTGTCTGTTCGCTCGATTTAATCCGCTACGGTGAACATTTTGTACTGATTTTTAACTGGAAAACCTAACGCGGCCACGCTAGAAAGAAAAAGTGTCGATCTATCGAAAGCAAAGTGGCTAAATTTAAAAAACTGTGACGATGGAAAAAAGAATGATTTAGAAAATACGAATACCGTCGGAGTATGGCTTGGCAAAGTCGATGAAACTTAAGAGACAAAGAGAACTTAGAACTTAGTCATGGGTATGTACGCGAAAAATTCGTCGATTTCTCTCACATTCGTGTTTTACGAAATAAAAGCCTAAGGATATACGTGCACACAGTATGTATTTCGAACAGTTTTGATGCATCGTGAACATCGAAAGGAACGAACGTTTTCCTTCGAGCAATATCTTCAATCGAATCGAAAGAAGAAAAAAAAACTTACAAAGTAACACCCGTGGAATTAATAATCGCAACGAATTTTGTAGCAAACGTTTGCTACATAACTTTCACCGTGATTAAAGAAAGAAAAAAAAAACGGAAATATTCGTCTGGCTTTGTTTATCTGACTGAATATTCAAGTCGAATTCGAAAAGCGTGAATTTCAAAGTTATTTAACTCCGCCGCGATTCTTAGATCTGTTTTAATCTTCCTTTGTTTTCACTGTTACGTAAATAAGCGATGCTTTCTTCAAAGTAAATAACTGTACAGCTTTTCGGTTTTCTTTCGTTTTTTTTTCTTTTTAGTTTCAATTGAAAAAAAATTCTCCGATATCCCCGTAGCTTTCTTCGCAAATTACCTTTTTCCGTTAAACAAACTCGGATAAAGCATCTCGTCGTAAAGAAACTTGAGTAATCACGTGCAAAGTTAATAGACGAGATAAGAATAAATAATGTTGAGAAAGAAAAGTAAGAAATTAAGAACGACGTAGGAGTAAGAGAGAGAAAAAAAAATAATACACGAAATATCGTGTTCGATTGAATTCGTATGGAAGAAGAAGATCGCGAAACTGGGAAGATTGCAAATTTATAGGGATCACGCATGCAAAGGCGCCTGCCTTTCCGAAAATAGATTAACGCTAACGTTGGTACGTACACGCGGGACGAGAAAGAGAGTGAGAAAGGCTTTCCAGAAATTCGAAAACTCGCGAGAGTCCCTATCGAAGTACGAACAAACGAACGAACGAACACATTCAATTCATTTTGTTCGGCGAAGTGCTTGCAAATTTAATGCAAGCTTCAACAAAGACTGATCGATGTTACGAGGCACGAAAGAACTCTACAGGGACTATCAACGTTCTAGAAAAACTGACATATTCGTATACCTACAACGAATATTCGCGCAGAAACGATAAACGAAACATGACGTTACGGTTATGTTACGCAAAAAAGAAAAATCAATTTCTTTCGAATCGAGGTCAAATACGTATTTTTGTTTACTGTCTGTTAATTATTCGTGATAACGTTGCATTCCGATGTATCGCGGAATAAGTGAAAAGAGGAAATCGGAAATAACGTATTCATTTATGCAGCATCGATAATATTAAAACGTTCGATTTGTTTGCAGGACGATTAGAGAGGATGAAAAACGTCAACGCGAAGGTGTACCTTTGTTCTTTGCACCTGGCTCAAATGATCAACTATAGACAAGAGAGAACGCAAAAGTATTAGTCACTATCGTCGCACGATTTATCGAAGGTTTAGCGAAAAATGACAAACGCAAGGTTTTTGTAGCGTGCATCATTTTTGCGACTCCGTTACTTATATACCTTTACCTCCACCTACCACCCACCCGCCCCACACTATCTCGTTTATCGTTTTTACACTCGTTTACCACATAAAAAGTTTTTACACATAAAACATTTGACACTTTGCATCATTCCTTGAACTGTTCGTTCGAGGTTGGAAACAGGGCGGTGACGTCTCAATTACCGTTGGTCGCGCTTCACTCCGTTTCAAACCGACGTTATATACATGTATGTCGTTCTTTGACGCGCGACTTTAAATATTTACGTTCGCCGGGAATGTATAAATATAAGAGGCGTACGAAATACGAGTGTCACAGGAATCCTGATGAGCCGAAACCGAAAACTCGCCGTGAAAATAAAAGCAGAGGTGCGAGGAAAACGGAAGAAATGAAAGAAAAAAGAAAAAAAATAGAAGAAAAAGAAGAGGGAAAAAAAAATGAAAGCTAACCTCCAGAACCGAGAGACCACGACCGTAACAACGCTCGTCGTGCGTTAAACGAATAAGATAAAGCTGCGCGCACACGAGCGCAGGGACGTCGAGTCAGCTGGTTAAAAACAGCTGTGTCCCGTCATCGACGAAACGAGGAGTTAAATATCCCCCGTTGTCGTGAAACACCATTGACATTGCACCGCGTTGTTTCTCGTCGACCTATAAAGCGATCATACCTGATAAACAAGCGATCCCGCCGTAACATACACACGCATACTGCGTAGTCTTGCAATTCGCAACCATGTGCGGGCCTCTCTTGCACTCGATTACAAGCACGTGCGATAGAGCGAAAGAGAAAGAAAGAATGAGAACGAGAGAAGGAGGGAACGGGAGAAGAGAGAGAAAGAGAGGGAGGCGAGAGAGAGATAGGGGAAGAGAAGGGGTACCAGGAGGAAAAGAGGTGGCGAGGAGGAGAGGAGAAAGAAAAAATGAAGACAGAGATACAAATAGCAAGTAGGAGAAATAAAAGTGAATTTCAAGGATACAATTTGAGAACGTCCGTGTCCATACGTCGTTTTCCAGCGCTGGGGGACGACATATTTATCTCGTCTATTAACGCAGCAGAGCCCTTCGCAGCAAGTCCTTGAATCAGCTGAGCTCGATTGTCGTTTAGGAAGGGCCTCTGACTGCCACGGATTATTTACCACAGCAGAACCCACGAACGAATCAGTCTTTCACCACTGTGATATAACACACTCTCTGTTTTCCCGTACCGAACAGTTATTCAGCACCGAGAGAAAAAAAAAACAAAGACACGCGTGCGTGATGGTCGCTAGTCAGTCGTTGGATGTTCGACGCTTGCCACGAAAGAAAACGACACGGGACGAATTCCGCGACGTCAGCGTTTAATGATGTTTTCTACGGATGAACAAGCGTACGATCCCTCGAGGAGCAGCAATATACAAATGGTCTTCCTCTTTGTCCGAGCGGACCAAGCCAAAAACCTCGGGCTAGAGGATCATTTCACCATCGACAACGACGATCCGTTCAGAGACTCGTTTACTGTCGACACGTTTCTCGCGCACACAGAAAACAATTCTTTCCCCTAAACCTCCTCCGCCTCCACCACTACGAAACGCCCGTTCTCGTGCACCCCACTGTCAACTAACGGACTTCACCACATCTGATTCCGTTTCTGCACTGCTCTCTTGCTTGCTGCTACCTCTGTCTCACGTCGTGCCAGTAGATGCGCGCGCACAATACAAAATCCCTGCTACGCTCCCTGATTCTTTCAGTCGACTAATATCACTAGAATTATACCGAGCACGACTAACTGTTATTACATGTTTTTAAACACTTTTTTAACTAACTAAAAAATTCAAATTCCATAACTGACAACATTTCTTTATAGCTTAGAATTCAAAATTCAATTACGGTTCAAGAAATATATTCATTATTCGCTTATATTTTTTATTATTCAAAGTTTTATCTTATATGTATATTACTTTATTGCGTGACGTGCATTTGCATCAATTATTCAAATTAACACTGTATTTCGTAAATTAAAAAGTATTCTTCACCTACGGTATATAAACATTTGTCATAACTAATTTATGCTTTTAAAATGTGTTAAATCATTTGCCATACAAAGATTAACGTGTAAAAAATAAATGTAAAACGGTTGCATATAAATTTAAATATAAATCAATTAATGTTGTATTTGAAAAAACATATTTGAAGAAATCACTAGTTCTTGGTAACACTGTGAAATAGTGTACGTCAATGACGTATATGTGGAATTTGAATTTAAATTAAATACATTACGACAATTATGATATATTCGAAGTTAACCCTTCGTATACATATTAGGATGAGTTAAATGAGCGCGCTCATTGATAATGTTACGAAAAGAAAATCTGCTACACAACAATTACTCTTGAAAACGAATAAATTATGAGTGAAAATTGAATTGTTCGGTAAGTCGGATGTCGTACAATTCGCGTTTTACCTAGACGTTTAATTACGTTAAAACAAAAGACGTACCTATAACGATACAATTGACATGCACATATAGCACGTGGTATTACATGTTTAATAACTTGACAAAGTTATTCTAACAAATCGATTTATTTAAAAAATGTATAAAAGTTATTAAAATAAAATTTTGATTATTCATTAAATACATTGATGATATAGAAAATACTAATCCTGCTGCTCCAAATATAAGTACTTTATATAAGTAGCTAATGTGCACTAAATTGGTTCTATTAAAGTGTTACAAATTTATTGCACCTTTTTGTCTCTTCAGATCTACTTTGTTGCATGCATATGTCTTAAATTCTAACAATTATAATAATAATGCATCAGAATTTGTAAAAATTCCTATGAACTATATATATAATATCAAAAATTTATCGAGGAACTTAATACTGCCAAACACGGATTTATACCTTTAGCGTAGCGATAATGCAAAATAAGTGAATAATATTGAGATACCCGAGTTTCATGTTCTATGGCTACAATTAAATGCGAGTTTACAAATGTTAATCATGGTTAAATGCCCAATATTGATATGTACTATGAGACGACGGAATAGATCATTTATCGTTAAAAAAAATAAGTATTGCGAGATTGTTCAATGCATTAAAGACTATTACTGTAAATATGGCAACAAGATTGATGAATGCTTTTAATATATGAAAAAGTCTCATTTGGAAGATATTTAACTTTAAAATGGAATGTTCTATAAAATAATATTATCTACACATTATTCTAACGCGATCATATGCGAAAACAAACATAATGAAAAAAATCTAGAGATAAAATAATTCCCTATTCGTTTCATTTTAAAATACTAAGTAAACCGTTAAATGGTTTTGTAAAAAATCGCGCATTAGATACTAAGCTATATTAGAAAAAGTAAAGCTTACAAAATATTCTTTTTAATAAATAATTAATTTTGGCATTAAAAAATTACTTGTCAGAGTATTATCAGTCCTTGCATTCTCTATAAATAGCGAAAGTCCTTAATTCGTATTTATAGCTTTTCCACGCTATGTTTAAGTACAAAATTGTTGACTGGTCGGTTGCCACTGTTCTATTTCTTATAAAAAATGTATACTATTTATTCTACCGCTGCTTTTCGTGCAAACGCTGTCAGGGACAGCATTTCATTAGGATCGGTAGATAAACGTGAGAATTCAATCTCTTCGCTAATACTATTTTCTGGAAAAATATAAAAGTGAGATTAAATGAAGAATACAATATAGTAAATATTTAATACAAAATATTATAGTACAGTAGAACCTCGGTTACCCGAGACCCGTTTAAAGATACGAAAAATCCGCTTCAGGATATAAACGAAGTAAGGAAAAATTGACGATATTGGCCTATGGAGATGCATTTGGTAACCACAAACTTAAATTAACTGTCATTGAAAAGTCGAAGAACCCAAGAGCCTTTATAAATGTTAAAATAAAAAATCTGCCCATTAACTAGACAAATCAAAAGAATGCATAAATGGACTCAAATTTATTTAGAAAATGGTTTCGTGAGGACTTTGCTCCTACCACAAAAAATTTTTTAAAGCAGAAAAATCTTCCCTGTAAGGCACGTCTACTCCTAGACAATTCACCATCTCATCCAGATCTAAGTCAACTTGTCTGTGATGATATCAAAGCCATCTTTTTACCCCCTAATGTGATATCCCTCATCCAACCACTAGGTCAAGGGGTACTGGAGACTTTAAAACGCTATTAACGTCGACAACTTTTAAGATATCTGTTGGAAGATCTGGAAAATGACAAAAGTGTTGTTGAGAGCTTTAAGAAAATAAACATCAAAGACATTTACTGGATAGCAGACGCATGGCACGATGTTAAATCATCTACCATGATTAAGTCTTGGGAAAAAATTCTAGGTTTCAATAATAAAAATGACGATGCTAACGAGAAGAAAAAAGAGGAAACAGAAATGCTAGAAATAGTCAACAAATTTCCCGTCTCAGAAACTCTTAATGCCGGAGATATTAAAAACTGGATGGATAAAGATGAAAATCAGGAAATGACTGACAATATGATGATAAATGTTGTGATTTTATTGTACGTCTGATGAACACCCATCAACCGTTCCGTATTATCCCAGTTTTCAATTATCCGAGGTAGGCACTGCTCACATTACCTGGATTAACCGAGGTTCTACTTTACTTCAAAAATATAGTTACCGGATGGTTCAATAGGCCACTGTTTATGTGAAGGTGCATATAAACACAATAACGCTATAATGTAAATATTCCACATTCCGTACACACCAGTAAAAAATGCTGATGTCATTTCCAAATGCAATTCCTCATCCCATTTCCATTGCCCTTCTGCAACCTAAATTACGTATGTAATAGTTCTCAATTACATGAATTTTTTTCTTCTCAACATTCTAGACACACTTTAAACACAATACTTAGGTAAATACCTGGCCAAGGATAAATCCAATAACTGTTAAAGATGCACACAACAGTGTAGCTATCATTAAAAATTTAAATCGATATATTACACCCTCATAGTGTAAACGTCGAGCCGAACTCATACTGGGTAATGCAGCCCTTTTTGCACTGATATTCATGAATACTTTCCATATCATGTAAGACAAGAATATTAAGTACACACCAGCAGATACTCCAGCTAAGATTATAAATGATAACTGTTTTTTTTAAGTCAAGAAATGTAACTTTTGTAATAAAATTAAATTTTTGTTTGGTATAAAAGGATACAGCAAATTTAGTTCCGAAATCTGTGACCCAAATTGAGTAGAATGGATTTCTTAATTGTACCCCGCGTTCGCACATGTCAAATACAAATAATGATAGACACCCGATGCCTACTGCAGAAAGATGACGCCAGTAACATTTTAAAGAATTTCTTTGTTCACCTTCCTAATTAATAAGCAATAATAAATTATATTTTTGCCATATCAAAATACAATCATTTAACAAATTTAGAAAAAAAGTCAACTCACCTGAATCTGTTGCGGTAGAAGATAACAAAAAAAATAGTCCATTAGTATATTTTATATTGTTCTTAACACTACAATCATGCTATTATTTTCATATGTTAATTTAATATGTTTACCATAAGATGTTCTCCAGCAAACACAAGCCAGAAGGATAAAAGAATTGCATAGAATACTCCTTGTCTGATGTCACCCAATAAAAGCATAAATGGCATGTCGTAGGCAAGTGTTAAATATTCCAAAGGCACTAAAAAAATTATTTTAACATAATAGTAAATTTTTATATAAAAGAAATGCAAGCATACAACTTACTATTCAAAAATGATAGAGCTATGCCTAGTGCTAAAAGTAAGTACTCCAAAAGGGCTGGTGATCTAGAAAGCATATGTACTCTCCTCCAGTACCAAGCAAGAACACATAAAACAACTGGGAAATAAATGGTCTTCAAACTGACCCATACTTTTGTAAATCCACCATTTTGATTAATAGCCTGTATTATAAAAATAGTAATTTAATATTCCGCATTTTTATACACATTTGGAAATGATATTTTAATTGTTATATATTTACTGTAAGCCATAAATCAGTTATATGTCCT